GTGAAGACTTGCAGCCAATGTGTGTGATTTACTTCCTTTCATAAAGCAGCAATATTTGTAGAATTAATCTGAAAAGCAGAAGAGTTAGCATAGGCACAGTTGTTTTCATGTGAAATGGACTTAGTAGTGTTCTCAAAATGATGGCATTAATTTCAGCTGCTTCCTGTTACTAACATTGTTATTTCAGACTTCCATTAGTGCAGCAACTTGCTGTTTAAAAAAGATGGAGTTATGGCAAATCTTTAAGCTATGTGCATGTAAAAGTATTATTTTATCTCTTTGTAAAAAGATAGGAACTTCTTGTTAGAGGCCTTCCTCTATGGTTGTGGTTTGATTCGCATGTTTAAGCTGTAGAAAACTTATCCCTTCTTAGTGCAGGACAAGTTTAAGTTTTGTTAAAACTCAAGTGGATAGATAGCTTTTAAATAGAAAAAATAATTTTAAATCTCAATTCTCAGTTCTGGAATTTTTAGTTTTTCAGCCAAATGGTAGATTTTCTAGAAGACCAGATGATGTGTGCAGGGTTCTTTTTGTTTGCTTTAATTTTGTGATAAGTTTTCTTACGGGGAAAAACTGGGCTTGCTTTATAAGCAGTCGTATAACAGGAACTGGATGGGAGGAGGCAATAAATGCGAAAGGCTGCAGATTGCTTCAGTGTCAAAGCAGAATTAGAGAATTAGAACAAACTTCTCCATCCAACATCTTGCAGAAGTATCAGACTGTGCAAGTGTGGCTTTTAGAATCATTCTGATTTACATTTTGCCTTAGCTTTTGAAGTGTATCCTCTTTCATTTTGTCAGTGATGCTCAAGTGCCTGTAACCCTGAGGTATAAATGATAATAGTCTAGCAAAAAAGGGAACTTGTCAGGATTTACAGGTCTCTCAAGTGCAAGAACCTTATGGTATTGTATGTACTGCTGGAAAAGTATGAACAAGTTGCTTTTCACTGATAAAATTCCTAGGAAATAACTTGGAAGAACAAATAATGCTAGAGGATACTATGCTCAAGTGGGATTTTCAGAATTATCAGTCTCTGTGAACCTTACTGGGTTCACTGTAATTTTAGCTGGGTTCTTGATATAATTCTGAAAGTCCCATCTTTGGTGATGATGCTGGTTGAAATTACAAATGAAAATTGCTTTCTCATGTGCTAGAGGTGACCGGAGACTTTATAATTGGGAGTGATGTGGAAAGGCTGAATAGCAATCAAGTGCTCCTGGCCTCTTCCAAAAGAAATGAGGAGACAGGAAGGAAACTAAGTGGATTTTGAAACAAAAGGAGGTTTGGGTTAATTTTTTAGTTGTGTACACACACACATACGCTCTCTGAACTTTTTACTGCAGAATGCTGTGGATGTTAAAACGTTTACGTGACTTCAAAGGGAGGCAGGAGAAGCTCACAGAAGAAAAAACTTCAGTGTCATTGAACACACAAACTCATCTGACCCAGAAAGTCCCAAGATACAACCAGTGAAGTGGGACAGCACTTGGAGGAGAGAAAGCCTTGTGTGCCTCTCCTGCTGTTACCTCCTTCCCCAGGCATCCAACCTCGCCTCTGTTGGAGGCAGGACTGTGGATGAGCTGAGTGTGTGGGGTCTGATCCAGTACAGCCGTTTGTATCTCCTACCTGATCTCCTGAGCTCTTTTCAATATTTGTCTTTCTATGACTGAGATTACTTTCTTAAGAAATAAAAGTTTGGATGTTGATTCCAGTTTAGGATTTCTTACTTGTATGAAGTATTCTTTAGGGTTGTTTTTTTTAAGCACTTTTAGATGAAAAATATAAAGTATTTGACTTTGTATTGGTGTTTCTTTAAATGTCAAAGACATGTATACTAAGTGAAACAAATTTTGACTTGTGTTCTGTTCCTGAGAAAGCCAGAAATTAAAATTTCAACCTGAATGTAAAAAAAAATATAAAATGGGAAATCTTTCACTTTTAACGTAATGGTGTGTTGAGGTAAATCAGAGATGTTTATAGAAAGTTTGTTTCTTTTGTCTTTTGAAACTGCTGGTTAATTATCTAGTTATCAGTGGCTGCCTTCCTTGGAGTCAACTACATTTTCACTGCTTTTATTTTTATGGTAAGTGTGCAGTATCTGGATGCTGTAGATAAAGAAACCAGACTACAAAGAAGAATTTCATAGGTTTTGATCCTAAGACTGAACTACTAACATCCCCTGCATAGGCATATGAGTAAAAATAACGTACTTTTAGGAGGTACTGTATGCAACACACTTGGATGCTCAGGAGCTTCGACAGTGTAAGCCTTTTTTATTTAAGATGCCTGGTCATGACTTAGGAGCGTAACTCCTAAGAGAGACCGAAGAGCTGGTTTCAAAGGCAGGAGGAGGAGTGTGGCTGTTCAGGAATGTACCAGTGAAAACATTGCTCCATCCTCAGCTCTCCAGGATAATCTTGTTGCAGAACCAGAAAAGGTGGAGAATACCTTGTGCAGTCCTGAATAGCTGGTAGCTTGGCTTTGTATCAGCTTGTTGCAGGAGGTACAGGTTCACTCCCCCTCTTCTGAATCAGTCAGATCAGGAATTTCTCAAGTAATGGTCAGATTCTCTACATTACAGATGTTGCTTTTTTGGACTATGTTCTTTTTTGTGTTGTCCCCTCTCCCCACTGCAGAAAGAGTGAAGTATGTTTAATAATAAAAAACATAAAGCTTCCTCAAACAGTTTTGAGATATCAAGCTGTTAACTGATGGGAAAGCTACTGTACTGTCTTGCACTACGCTACCGCAAAAAGCAGAAGCTGCTGCCTTGGAGAGTGAGAGCAAGGCAGAAAGAGCTGCTCTTCATGCTGCCCCAGGCTCTTGGAGCTAATATACCAGCGAAAGTCTGGTTTAAAGAGGAGTACTCATACGCACAACTTTATCTGCTTGTTCTGCTTTTAAGTCAGTGATTTATTTTTTTTTCTTTTCCGCAGTTTCATAATCTTGGTAAGAGCAGCTTCTCTTTACTAGGGTGAGGCTGCGCAGTGTTCACTGCTGTAATGCAGAGGCGCTGCTGAACAAGTGGTCACTAAACCAAGTAGCAGCTTTGCCAGACTTGCCCAGAAACATCCCCCAGCAGTGACATTAAGGGCTTCAGTCTCAAAGGCTTTGGAGAGAGTCTAATATTACACAGGCTCCTTAAAGAGGGATGCATCGAGATATTAGAGACGCATATCTGGCTTTTGAACTTTGGTTTTGTCAGTGGCATATGGAAAACTTACAGCATTTCTACTCATGCTGGGTTTCACGCGTTTTTCTGAAGTCAGCTATGAATCAGAAGAGTTTAAGATTCCCAGCTGAGATAACTACTATTTTCAAATGTTATGCAGACATTTATATCTATGCTATCTTTGCAGCTATTTGAATTTTCCTTCCATAAATTGTGTGGATAAAGATTTAAAATGCTCCTAAATTTAAACTTCAGTCAGTGTTAGTTTCTAGTAGTCTTTGAGAACTCAGTTTTGCAGTAGCAGTAGGCAGCGTACGGTTGATTTATAACAATTAAGCAAAAGCTTTGCAAAGGGAAGTGAACTCAATCAGATAACGTATCACATACTCCGACAGCTTGATACGCGTTTTCTCCAGCGTTGATTCATGCTTCCGTACAGTGCCCTGAAGTAAAAACACCTCAGTGCTGTGTCTGTGTTGCAACTGACTGCCCAAAATCTAAAGTGCAAATTCATTTTAGCTCTGTTCTTATTCTTGACTCCATTGTTTTTGGGGAGGAAAAAAACCAACACTTACTACTTAATTTTACTTTTAAAATATTTTTTTTTATTTTTTACAGTGATATTAAATTAATTCTGAGGAAAAATATACACAGTGTTCTAATGGCTGGGAAACACATAGCAGGACATTTTAAAGCACTCTTGTCTATATGTTCCTGTTTGTAACAGTAATATATGTAGATTTCTCCTTTTACATGGCTTTGACTTTTCAAAGTGTCTCAATGAATTTTGCCAGCACGCAGCCCCAAGTAATTTATTTTCATACTTTATAAAGTTTGCAAGAAAATAGCATTTGAAATTTTAAATGCTTGTGTTAAAAATATTTCTAGGACACAAAGAATGAGAGGAAGTTTCACTCTAAAAATTACTGTATCTTGAATTTCTTTATGGGGACACTAAATAGTTTCCTAGAAGAAATATTTGGGTTGGTGCACATGCTCATTTCTAGTTACCAAAGGTCATGTTTTTCTAAGAAACTACTACTTTGAGCTTGAATTACCTTATGTAATGGATGTTATTTTGTTCAAAAGTCATGTTGAGTTGAAGAACCTCTCACAAAAGAGTTTAATAATGTGGTGCTGTACCTAAAGCACTAACTTCAGTCATCAGAGGTTATTTCGTTATAATTACACAGACATCTGAGACAGAGGTGAGAAGAAAAACCAGTTTGTCTGAGTTGTTTCCAGATGCCCTAAACTACCAGAAGATTTAATTGCTTTATGGGGGCCAGGCTTGTGGAGAGAGCATATATTTTGTCAGATAAACCTGGGAGAAACAAAGTTCTTGTTGCCCTTTGATTGAAGCCTCTGTGAATGTAATGGTCTCTAAGGAGAGTGCAGGGAGAAAGACAGGAAGGAGGAGTAAGAGAAGAGGAAGCTCTGGCACAGGCACAGTAGCTGAAGTAGTATGATCAATATGGTGATTTCCTCAGCAGTGCATCCTGCGGTGTAAACCAGGTAGTTTCACTCCTGTCCTCAGTTAACTTGGAAACCTACATCATTATAAAAAATGAGCAATTGCTTTAACTTCAGAAAAAAAACAAGCTACTTTTTCATTTGGTTTTGACTTGACGGACAGTCTTTGGACTTTACCGAGTCTGAAACCACAGGTTTGTTTCTAACATACCACCTGGCAGAACAGACATTTGACATAAATTCTTAAAATACTTTTTCTGTGTACTATTATGCTTAACACTTTTACAGCCTTATCATAAACTTTTCTGATGTGAAAGAAGAGTAACATTTACATATCGGAATATATTTCCACAGCTGAAGAAATGTGCAGGCTTCTAATTCCAGTTTAGTCCCAGTAGTCTTTTAATACAGTTCATATTGTAGAGTCGCTGTCAGATATTTTCATTTTTATGGTCTGAAGGCTGTGTTGAATGAAGTTTTCTGAAACTGGCCTTTCGGAGAATCTGATGTCTCGTGGTCTAGTGGACCGGCTCTTTTTTATCGAATTTTGAATTGTATCCGATGTAAAGTAATAGACAATAGGGTCAAAACAGCAGTTTGAAACAGCGATGCAGAGAGTGACGGGGTACATAGTCCTGACTGCGGTTACCACTGAGCAATTAATCCAGGTCTGTGTTCTCATAAGAGAGTAAAGTATTAAGGTAACGTTGTAAGGCACAAAGCAGAAGCAGAATATCACCAAATGGACAAAAATCATTTTGAGTACCTTTTTCTTGCTTAATTTATTCCGACTTAATGTAAGCGGTTTATTCAAAGTCCGTAAGACCATAGTAGAGCAGGTCACGTTCAAGATGAGCGGAATAAAAAACCCAACTATTTCAATGAAGATCACAATCCGGGATAGGTAGGTTTTCCATGTGTCCTCCGAAAAGTTTTCAAAGCACGATCTCTGTTCAGTATTATTACGGCGGTTTGTAGACTGGAAAAAGCTTGCTGGTGTGCTGCCTGCTAACACGGTTATCCAGACTGCAGTGCAGACAATTTTTGCATTCCTTTTTGTTCGGAGAGTCTTAGATTGAAAGGGGTGTACTATAGCTAAAAAGCGATCTACGCTTATGCAAGTCAGAAATAAAATGCTCCCATACATATTTGTATAAAAGAGGGTGACAGAAATCTTGCAAAGAATGTCTCCAAATGGCCAGTTTCTTGCTACAAAGTAATAAATCCTGAAGGGTAATGTAAACACAAAAAGCAGATCCGATATCGCTAAATTAAGCATGTAAGTTGTAGTCTCATTTCGCACTTTCAATGTACAAGTAAAAATGTAGATGGCAACACAGTTTGCTATGAGGCCGAGAACAAACACCATGCTAAAGATACAGCCATATAAAGTATATTTAAAGGAGTCCTCAGTGGAACAATTGGAGCTTACCATTATAATGGTATAGTTAAAATTCCTGTGATTTGGAGGTTTCTCTGGTATTTTAATTGCAACTTTTTAAAATCTCAGAAGAACTTGCAGATGTGTTTGAACTGTAAAGCTTCAAAGAAGAAACACAAAGTCTGTAGCAGGGGAGCACATCTCCAGCAGTAATCACCAGGAGGTCACTCTTCTCTTCGAAGTGCTATTTGTAATCATGTAGCCAGCCTTCGAAAGTCAAAACCCATGTCATTTGTAGCAGATGGGGTCATCCCAATGCTTGCTTAATTCCATTTTCCCCCTCGATTCAATGAAGCTGTTGTAGAACTTTCTGCCTTATCCTTAGCTGCAGATCATGATGGCAAATGGCAAAGTCTTGTCCATCCAGATTTACTGGGAACGTACGCTGTAGAAAACGATTTCCTGGACGCCACGAAGCATCGGCGCTTGCATTTCTCTCCCAGCTTGCTTTCTGTAAAACAAGCTTTTCGGCTCCTGGGAGCCCTGGCTCGCTCGCCCCACGGGGCGGGAAGCAAGCTGCTTGCGAGGGCAGAAATGAAATTCCAGAGCGTGTTTGTTCCTGCAGAGCACAGCCCTGGCGTCCTGCGCCCTGGCAGCCTTTCGCCAGCCCGGCTCCTTCTGGAGAGGAGCAAAAAAGGGCTCAGGCAATTTGTAGCATGACATCACAGGAAGAAGAGGTCGGACTTGCTGAAGAATGGTTTCAATTCGGTTTGTTTGCCTTCCCTAATCTGATAATGTGTCTGCTGGGACAGTACCTTGCAGGCGTGCAAATGGTCACCAGCAGAGTGCTGCAGCTGCAGCCTCCTGTTAACTCTTTCCATGCTCCCTGAAAGGTGCTTTGTCCATGTTGCTGGAGTCCATTTGTCCATTTTGCTTTGTCGCAAAATCTTTTTCTTCAGTTACAAGGAGATTTTTTCAGGATTGCAATAACTCTTATGCCTTAAAGTTCCTGCTTTTCTTTGAAGATAGTAGTAATTGTCAGATTTTATATTATGTAGGGATGAACTAATGTTATGGTTTTTGGTATCTTTTCTTGTGATAGCACGTTAATCACCAGAAGTCAGCTGAGTAGTTCTACCTTGATTCCCTCAATGTACCAGTACAAACCTCAGGAGGGACAAAGTAACATTGATAGGTAATTAAATAATTTCTCCAATTTTTTTTTTTTCTCTCTAAGGGAGAGGCGTAAAGATTATGAACCCATGCGTTGCTTTGGGATATTCCCAGGACTGAGATATGTTGTAGCAGGAGGAGAAATTTTTAACTTGTTCCATATTGGAAAGCATATCCCAAGTACTATTTCTAATCAGAAAGGTGTTTGTTTTTTTTTTAATAAAAAATTAAAACAAAATAAAACTTTTTTTTTTTTAAATTGTGGTACAATAAAGCATTTTCTCCAGTATCTAAGCACAGAATTAATATACCAAAATAAATACTGTACGATTGTTTCTGATAATTTAAAGGGGGGCAGTTATCACACATGCACAAAATATTCCCATTAGTCACTGACTAATGAAATGAAAACATGTTGTAACTAATTAAATTGTTAAGTAAAAATAAAAAACCAGCTCCTGTTGCCTTTAGGGGCAGATATGAGATAAATCTCAGTTTAGACAGACTCATTTATTTAACAAGAGCTTGGATAAGAGTCACTTCTGGCATCAAAATCAGTCTATTTCTGAGTCTTAGAATAACAAATCTCTTCATATCTGGCTGGGTGGCATGGTTCTTTTGAACTAGATTTTAATCAGTTGTACCTAAGCAAGGCTCTGGGCAAAAACTTTCTAGTCTGCTGTAAAGGAGAGTAAATAATAGCACTTCACAGGGTTTTGGCATAGCTTCTCCATGTGAGGTATGTCAGACAAAATCCAAACACATGCGGAAATGCTTATTTTATTTCAAGTTTTCTTGATAAGTTTCTTCTCTGAAACTCTTTCACTTTGATTTTGAGGTAAAATCAAGCAGTTTCACTTCAATAGGCTACAACCATAAGATACCTTTTAAACTATTTTTGTAATGCATACTTAAATATGAAGCATAGCACATTTTCCACTTCTAAGTCAGCCAGAAATGAAAATGTGAGCTTGGCAGAGTCCCTTGTGTGTCCAGCTTAGCTTGTACCTTAGCATAAAGTTGCCTTACCTGGCTTTCCTTACAAAAGCAGTCGTCAGGTGGCTAAATTTTGTTTCTATTCCTGGCAATGTACCGTGCAAGGGGAGTTTTCCTGCGAGAGTCCCTGAGTTGTGCATCAGGCCTTGGGAGCTCTGAACTCAGTTTTCCTGCTCTGGCTTTGTGTGCACAGGAAAATTGCGTGGGGCAAGCTCAGTTATTGCAATGAAGATCCCTGAAGTACAGAAATTTGGCGTCACATGTCAAAATTCCAAGCAGTGTTTAGAGAGAGAAATAAATGGAAATGAGTAGGTCTGCCTTATTCATCGGTACTTGGTTTTCCATTTGGGCCAAGGTGTAGGTGCACAGAGAAAAGCTGGGAATGTCTGACCAGGGGCGCTGTCTGTTTTACCATGGTAAATGTCTTTCAGAGCAATTGTGAAGGTGCATCCTCAGCCTTCAGTTTGTCCATCAGAGCCCCTGCCTTGCTGCGGCCCATGTTGTTGCTCTTCTTGTGAATATGGGCACTACTCAGAGCTGTATTTTAGGGCTTGGGTATGTGCTTCTGTTGTCTTTAGGACTTTCTCTTGCCCCTGCACTGCAGAACAGTACGTGCAACTTAGACTAATAATGATATGTGTATACTTCCAGAAATAGCATTCAGCTGCAGGGTTTCTCCACCTGCAGATGAAAATTTGAAAACCCCAAGTTAACAGGTTTTCACGTCGAACCATGTTTCAGCAAGGAATTATATGACTGAGTGGGCAGTCTGACTCATTTTAGTATAAAAGTGTGAATAGTAAAGGTGAATTGCACACCCGTTTTCTTAATTTAGACGTGGCTGATTGTTATCAAGCAGTGTTTTAATTTGTGTGAGCTTCTCCGAGCTGAAGAACCTGTGTTCATGCACCACAAACCACAGGAGTTGAGAGCAGCCTCCCTTCTGGTTGAGCTCCAGCACGAATGGGGAAGAAACTTCATTGTGCACTTTCCTTTTGTTGGATCACGTGTCAGGATGGGCTCTGTGCTGTCAGATTTGGAAAAGCCTTTAGTAAGTCCCAGCACTCCACAGATAAAAAAAAATTATCAGTTATTATGGAAGAAGAGCTGATGTGGTAATGACATTGCTTATGTTCCTTCACTGCAGGCAAATTTTCCTTTGGGATGGGGAGGTGGGGTAGGCAGGAAGAAGCAGCTGCAGGGAGGGCCCTGTGCACTGAGGGTTTATTTTTCTCCAAGGGAAATGATGCTGCCACTGCAGGGGAGATGCATGTGTAAGTCTGTCTCCCTTTCTGCATCAGAGACGGGAATGAGTTAGGACCTGTCGTGTGTTGGTAGTGCTGGATGAGCAAAGGCTGCATTTCCATCAACAGCCTTCCTGTGGCATGTGGAGAGGCCGTGAAGACAGAGTGAGCGTGGGCTTCTTAAAGCTAAGAGCTGATGAGATGCTTGAAATCATCCCTCACTTCAGCAGTGAACAGATTTCATACGCTCCTTCAGTTGGTTGCCACTTATATGCTGGTTGCTTATATGAGTTTAGATATCTAGGACACTCTACACCCTTGAGTGATCTTGGATTTGTGTGGCAAACCTATTCCAGCATTGACCGGGGGGCAGAAGAAGTCCTTATAACTCTATTAGTGTTCTAGCAGAGTGGCTGTAGGACACTGCCATCAAGAGCTGCTGCTTTCTCCTCCCTCCATATGTCACAGAGTTGGAGATTTCTCATTTAGGACACATTGCAGGATCTCTTCAATTCAGAAGTTCAAGTTGAGCGGTAAAGAAATATTTCACTGAAACAAAGCAAGTATTGGAAAGCTTTCCAAGCCTTCAGAATTGTTTTGGCCAGTGTTCTGTGTTCCTCTGGTGTTACCCTAGATTTCAGCACTGGAGTCAAAAAGAAGTTGTAGTCAGAGGTGAAATGAATTTTGAATTTGTCTTGTACTACATTTGGCCTAGCACTAATGACTATTTTCTTTGGGCAAAGTGTTATTATTTATCCAATCATTTTCATGAGTTTTAGCATTTTTAGTCTCTTGGAGTTTCCCTTTGAGCATGTATATGTACAGGAAGGAATTCTTATGGTTGAGAGGTAACACTGGGAACCAGGAAGTCTGTTTCTGGCTGTGCCACAGATTTTCTGTTCCAATCCTGGCAGAAGTTTCTATAACTTTGTGCTTTAACTTCCTTCCTGGTAAGAGCTCATCCACTTCCTCACTGGGATGCAAAGCCATCTTAATTATTGTTAAATATTGTTTAAAGGCCTTGGAATGGAGAACCCTTTATTAAATATGATATTAAGATAATTACAGTGGGTAGTGAATGCAAGAAAAATGTAGGAAGGTTAAAATTTTGTATTTTTAGATTAGATTCCTGCCAAGAAAAAGGATTAAAAGACTTCACTTGATTTAACTCCATTCATCTGTAGGGAAGTAGGTACAGAGAGAGCAGGGCTGGGAACTTCAACCTTCTCAGCTACCTTTCAGGAGCTGCCTGCTCAGACACCCCTAAGTCGCTGTAAGGCCACTTCTGGTAGGGGGATTACTGCCTTCTTAAAAAGCAGTGATGGTGTCCACCTGTGGAGACAGTGTGAAGTAGTTAGCACACTGAAAATTCCCTGTTTTTCCCCATTAAAAACTTTCCAGTGCAGTACATAAGTCTTTCAATGAGCATTATAAGACCTGTGGTAAACACACTATTTTTACCTAGCCAGACTAATCCTGCATGACTACTGCATGCAAAACTTAAAAGAGGTACATATTTTCTGCTGAAAGTTTGACCTTCTAGAACCAGTTTTCCTGACTAGTTTTTGTTAGCTATGTACTAATATATAGCTGCCAAAAATCTTTCAAATATTAAAAAAAAAAGGCAAGAGAAGCTAAAGT